ATCATTCTTAAACACTATTTTCACATCATTTCAACCACACATTTTTTAATAAAATAATATTACACGTAAATTTTAAAAAAAAATTGTTTTTTTAACTAGTCATTTTCTATCAATAAACTATTCAAAAATACATTTTTTTCCCAAAATGGGCTCAAACAATAACTCTCAGCCCTCGTTTGGCCACATTAATTTTGATTATAATGGAGGAATAAGTTTTTTTTTTTTTTTTTAATGGATGGTTGTAAAGGAATGAAAAGTTTTCGATTTACATACAATATTATTTTATTGAAAAATGTGTAGTTGAAAATAGGAGAGTGAAAATTTTAATTTAATTTGATGAGATTTAATGGGGGCCAAACGGAGGCTAAATTTCACACTCAGAACACGGAATTGAGGAAGGAAAGATGAAATAATGTGGTTTTAAGCTTGGGCTAAAAGATTGAAACAAAAAACTATTGTAATGATTGGGCTGGGTTTTCTAGTAGGCTATGGAAATTGGGCTATTACTTGTTGGTGGGCCATGGACATTTTTTATAGGGAAAAAATCACATATAACCTATTAAAAAATAAAATTTCTCTAAATACTCAATATGATGTATATAATCCTAATATACTATGAACTTTGTAAGCCCCTGTTTGGTAACAATTTTTCGTCCCAAAAGATCAAATTTTTTACTATTATTTTACTATTTCATCCATCATTTTTTACTTTCTAACTCACAGGTGGGATTCACTTCTCTCTTTAACGGTCAAAAAATCAATTCTCATAATCATTATCGAACAAGTCCTAAATTATATCTATAAATACTACTTTCCAAAGTATTCCCAAACCTTTTTGTAGCTGAAAAAATTAAGCCATTGGTTCTCATTATTTTCAAATATATTTTTTCTCTCTTATTTTCAATTCTACAAATTCTTCAATAGAAAAATATATACAACCCAAATTTTTTCTTTATTTTAACCCCACATTCTCCATCAAAATACTATTCTAGAATGCCTTTTGGGCAAAAAAGGGACTCAAACAAACTCTAAATTTATAGCAAACTTTGAGCTGCCACTGAATGCGTCCACACCCCAAAACAAATTCAAAACTTTAATGGAAAGCACTTGGCATATAACAGGTGGTAGAAATTATCTTCTTGTTGATCAACATCTTCAATTGCCTACCATTCTTTTCTATTTGTGCCTCCATTTCAACCGTTGTTATTTCTGTACCTATTATGAGATATACAACTAATTTGCACCATATTTGTTTCTAGCAAAAAAATAAAATAAAATAAAAAAATAAAAAAGGCGTGGTGCATGAATCACAAATCATAAAATTCCCAATTTATCACATTCATATGCTAAATCACCAATCAATTTTAAGCATCAAAATTAACCAATAATCTTTGCACAAATTATAAATCATCAAAATCAGGAACCAGAATTCCAAATTTCAAATCACCAATTTATAGGTAAATCATCACAGTCACACAATAATCAAACACCAACTAACTATAATATCAGCAGCTCGCTCAAAATTAGTAAAAGGAATGAAGGATTATATGTAAACCAAAAAATCTGGAACCAGGAACCAAAATTCCAAATTAATCTTTGTACACAAATTAGAGACTTACAGACAAACTCTCGCGGAGGAAGTTAGCGGCAGTCGGCTGCACAACAGGTCACAAACAACTGAGCAAGTCCACGGCGACGGCGGTGCAGAGAGAATTAGAGAAAGGGGAGAAATTGGGAGGAAACTGGAAATTCAAATCAATTCTCATGAACCAACCAAATCTGATTACATTTACAGGGTTTTTGATTTTGGGCAGTGGCCAATGGGCCTAATGTTATAATACTAGCGGTTGTCAACTGCTAGTTTATTTTCATTAGTGTGAAAATGGTAGATTTTTCAAAATTTGTTAAAGATTCGAAGGATTTAGTGTTGTCAAATCATTGGCTCATTGCAATTTAAAGACTTTATAATAACTTCTCTTTATTTTCGGTTGTAATTTTTTCTTTAATTTGTTAAATCATTTAGGATACGTTTGATTGCAAGCATGGAATTTGCTAATAAATTCTAGATAATTCAATTGTCTAGAATTTATTTGTATGGAAATTGTCAATCAAATGTGTTTGATTTATTTAATTTTCAATCAAAAAACATTAAACTTGTCCATTTTGTATTGGTAGGTTAATGAGAGAGTGCGGATAAATAAGAGAGAGTGAATTCCATAAAAAATAAAGCGATTTTTTTAATGGTACATCGGGGTATACCTAATGGTACACTCCACTCACATGGACAAGGGACTCACTCAAATAAAATATCATTTCTTTCACATGAATCCCACACCCATGTGAGTAGGTGTCCACCATTTGGTACATCCCATTATGTACCACTAGACAAATTCAAAATAAAATCCTACTGTTCTTAAAGAAAATATTTTCCTTGATTTTGAGAAAAATATAGTCACGTGACCAAAAGTGGAAAAATATTTTTTTATGAAAAAAGTGGCAATCAAACAACACAAAAGTAGAAATTTAGATGAAAAATAGAGGCAATCAAACACACTCTTAAATTTTTTATTCGTATTGGTGTCAAATAATAGTTACAATTAACTTCTTTTAATTTTTTGATTTTATGCTTTATTCAATTATTTACTATTCAATGTTCAAACATTTGAATTTTTACATGATGGAATACCTTCTAAATGTGGAATTGAGAAGGGTAATTATCGATTTTAGTTATTATCTTGATTTTTTTTCATTGTTTGGAAAAAAAAAAGTCATCATAAACATTAATGTAAGTAGTGAATATAACATTTATTGATCAAGATTTAATTATTTTTATTAATTAAATAATTAATATTTTCTATAATTATAAATAAAATATATTCAATCATTTATCTTATTAATGGAATAAAAGAATCGTTTTGTCTTTCAATATAGGAAAACGATATCGTTTTGTACTGTAAATACAAGTAAAAAGAGATAAAAAGGAAAAAAAAGGAAATAAAAAATAAAATTATAAAATTTTTTAATTAAATTAAAATAATTAAAATTGAAATTGAAAAAATTACACTTTATCGTAAAACAAAAAAAATTAAAAAGAATTTTAAATCGAACAAAAACTTATTTATAATATAAAGAAAAAAGAAATTTAAAATAATTTTCAAAAAAATATAATAAATACAAAATAAAAAAAGTAACCAAAATTAAATAAAGAATATATAAATATTATTTAATTGAAATTAAAAAAATTAAGTTTTATTGTAAAGAGAAAAAAATTTAAAAAAAATCAAATCAAAATTCTTTTTTCACAATATGAACAAAAAAATGAAAAAGAAAAAAAAAATTGTGGAATGGAGCTCTCCATCCAAATGTGTGTGGCTATGGAGGGATTTCCCTCCATCCATGGAGTCTCCGTGCAAGGAGGGAAATTCTTCGTGCACATATTTCATTTTTTTTATTTGTTTTGTTTACATTATAAATAATTTTTTTCAATTTAAAATTCTTTTTAGTTTTTTCGAACTTAATTTTTCAATTTTAACTAAATAATATTTATATATTATTTTATTTTCTTTTTATTATATTTTTTTGAAAATTGTTTTAAAATTTCTCTTTTTTTCATATTATAAATAATTTTTTTTGGTTTAAGATTCTTTTTAATTCTTTTCATTTTACGATAAATGTATTTTTTTAATTTAATGAAATAATATTTATTTTTAATTTTTTATTTCAATTTAATTTAAAAACATTATAATAACCTTTTAGTTTCTTTTTATTTTTGCCTGTATTTTTTATTTTTTTTGTTTAATTTGTTAAATCATTCATTTTCTTTATCATTATCCAATTCATTTGTCATTCTAGTTAAAGTGAAATCTACATTTTGTTTTAGCAGAAAAAGGTGCACATTTTAGCATAGAAATGTGTCCCAAGCAGAGGAAGGTGTCCAAACATTTAGTCGGAAAAAAGTAACCCATTAATTTGACTTGTGCATGGAGATCTCCGTGCACCAAGACAAAAGTCTCTGTGCAAAAAAGTTTCGACTCCGTCCACGGAGAGTTTGCCATCTAGTTGCCAGTTCATTTATTTTCTGAGCACACTTGCTTCTTCGATCAACTTCCAGGTTTGCATTAGGCTATCATTACTCTCTTGGCATCACATTATACAATCTTTTGCTCCCATTTGAGAACCTGCCCACGTTCAGGAAACTCAATATATTTTCACTTTAGTAGACTGTCATAATTTTCCTCAAAAGTTACCTTCTTACCCATCTAAATTCTACTCAACTATCAGAAAGATGGGGACAAATTAGACTACAGTTATGACATTCCATATCATTTTGAGGTGGGCTCGACCCATGCGCCTGCAATAAATCCATTCACACCAGTATAAGTCATAAATTTCTGGTTAGTGACAGCATATTTGTTTCAGCACAGGTTCATGCAAAATTTATTAGATAATATTATATAAATTCTTACGCCAATGTTTTTTGACAAATATATACAACTTAACTTACTAATGTATGAATGATTGACCTCTTTAATCATTCCTATAAGTCATATTTTTCAACATTAAGGCTGCAAGATAAGATGCCTAGAAAAGCTCTACAAATTGTTTATTAATCTATTGGGTTGTGAGACTTTTTTAAAATGGAAAATGATCCGGAAGAAGAAATTCATAGAAACTATATTTCTTCTAATTCCATGGCAATAACCTCAATTCACATTGATGGCAACGTGTCTGTGGGAATGTCTCAAAAGAGTTTTATTCTATGAAAATTAAAAACCTCAACACTTGAAGTGAGGTGGCTATTTATTTATTTTCTTCTGGTTTCCTTCGTGCACAGATTGAACGGGATCTTTTTTTTATTTTTTTTGAATTTTTCAACAAAATAAATCTAAAACATTAAATAATTTATATTTAAAAATGAGATTTTTTTGTCAAAAATTGGGTAGGAGGAGTGTGTGTGGCCTTTTTTCACATAATTGTAAGTTAAAAAGACTTCGTTCTATACTTACCTCTTCCACAAATTTTGATTTTAAGATCAATAAATCATTCATTCGTGAAAAAGAAAAGACCCAATAAACTTTAGAGAGAAGAAGAAATTACAGGTGATTTGTGTGGTAAAATGGATAACCAAAAAAATAGTAACGTTTAAAAATGGAGAAGATATAAAAAAATGATATGTGCGAATTGAGGAAGAGAGAAAATGTCACCGTAGCATGTCAGGGAAATAGTTGAAAAAAAAAAAGATTTCATTTTTTCTCACGAAAAAACAACTACAGTGAGATAAAATGGAACAATTCACTGTTGCTTTTTACAGTAACTTCAAATTCTCCTTTTTATATAGTATGGAAAAGGGGGAAATCATAATCTAGTTGTATCATTTACACCAATTCAAAAATCAGGTACATAGTTTGAAAATTCAAAATTCTGGTATATATTTAATTAATTAAAAATATTTATTAAATGAATATAATTATGTCACGGTTATACGATTAATGGTCATAGATTCATAATTATAGGTCAGAAATTTATTTATTGATCACATATCATCAAATTAATTGATCACAAATTATTTTGTGGTCACAAATCAAAAATTTTGTAGGTTACAGATTATTTCGAGGTCACAGATCATTTAAATTACAGGTTACAGTTTATCTATGGGTCACATATTTTCAAATTTACTGCATTTTGTTAGTTTATGATTAATGGTTATGTTTTTAAATTATAGATTACAGATTTATTTACTGGTCACATATCATCAAATTAATTGGTCACAGATTATTTCGTAGTCACAAATCAAAAATTTTATAGGTCACAGACTATTTTGAGGTTACAAATCATTTAAATTACAGGTCACAGTTTATTTATGGGTCACAAAGTTTTGATAAGAGGGATAAAATCCCAAAATATAGAATTGTAAGACATTCCTAGAATCCGGTTCATTTTTTCAAAAAGAAATTCTTTTTAATAATTAGGTGAGACATGCATACCGACTCTCGGATAGGTGGTGAAAAATAATTTCTAAATTTTTTTTAGTCAAAGAAACATTGAATCATTAGATAAAGGAAAATAATAGACAGTATCTCAAGTTTTCGGAGTAAACATAATCAAAGAAATGAACCCATAGATAATTCAAGGGGAAAACAAAGAGGCAAATCTAGAAATTTTTGGACAATATGAGAAAGAGGAAAAAAATCCAAGATTCTAGCTATAAAACTCAAATAAAGAAGCAGTGTTTGAAATCCACAAAAAATCTCTCAACTCCGACAGCGATGTTCAATGAAGAGAAATTGAGGTATATAGAGAAAGAAAATAGAAATCGCCCCAACACCACATCAAGAAATCTTTCAGTGGTGACGCCACCTTGCAGGTGGTTTAACTCTGATGGCAAAATTGCTGGGCTGGAGATAATCTTCCACGGGCAGCGCGATTACTGTTGAGAGAGGAGAGATTAGGGAGCAGAATAGAGTGAGAAGGAAATGGAGGAAATGATTAGGGGTTTTAATTGAATTTGGTGAATTAATTATATATAATACCTGATTTGTCAATAATAAAATTTGGTACCTAATTTTTGAATTGTGATGTTTAAACCCCTTGTTTTGTGTAATTTACACATAATAAAAAAAATGAAAAAATGGGTGGGGGCTCAAAACAATTTAAGCCCACTACTAAAAAATAAAAAATAAAAAAAATAAAACTAAACCAATCTCAATTCATCTGCAGTCTGTCTCTGCACCATTTCACATAGTCCTTGGGTATGCTGTAGTTCTAGCCTCCGTCCCTGCTAGTTGTGATTAGAATTATAAATTATTTCATTTATGATTCAGTGATGTATTCAAATTTCAGTTTGATCATAATATATCACGAGTTTTTAATGC